TAAGGAGTACAAATTTTTTTTTCGAATTAATGTTGTTTAGAATTAAGCTATCTAACTAAACGTTAAATGAAATTTTTGAATTTTCTGAAAAATAGTGGTATTTATTTTCACTTTCGGTCCAACCGATAGCAATGGAAACATCATACTATTCTCAAAAAGAGACAACTTCATACTGTATCGATTTGCCAAGTATCAAATCTGTAATAGTTATAGTTTAAAAGAAAAAACGTAGTCCCAAAAAAATTGAACATCCTGTATCTCGAAAACGGTTGATTTTCGGACCCATGTTGATTAACACTTTTCGACTTGTTTTCGACTGTAGTACTACCCCTATAAATATTTAAACGTTGCTTTAAAACACCCTGTATAGCGGAAATAAACTCGCAAATATTGTATTTCACAAAACATTCTATGGGAAATCAGTGTCGACGAAGAATTTTCTTAAGTAATTTAATTTAATTGCTTTAATGAAAGAGCAACTAATTATGAGAGCTCAAATAATTTCGCTGCCAAAGGATATTCGAGTATTTTTGCAAATATCCTACATGTTGTACATGTTGTAAATGTAAGCAATTCATATATAAAAAACACTCAAAAACAATGATAACTTGCTCGACTTGCGAAATGCATTCAGACTCTGACTCATAATTGATTTATTAGTTGTCCATTATGTTATTGTAAACACATAAAATTCAACAATAAAGTGTCGTGTATTCTCTATATTGTGTTTTTTTTCTGAAATAACATGTAAATTTCCCCCAAAAGAAGAAATTTTCCTATGTGTACAGGTTTGCAGGGTATGTCAGTTATTATGAAAGATAGAAAGCTGCGGCTTTCGCGAACCTGAGCTACTTTTTTGTGAAACTTACAATGGCGCAAACCAAATTTTCATAGCCCTCTTCGTTTTTGATATACAGGGAGTGTTTCAAAATTTACGATTTTCAAACACCTCCTGTATCTCAGCTATCCGGAAACGTAAAAACGGGTTCTAATAGATTTTTTCACGTAGAATCCAATGGTGCACGTAGAATTTTTCTAGTCATCACGGTTTTTGAGTTATAAAGAGTTAAGTATTTTAGAAGTTCAGTAGAGTATTCAGTATTTGAGTGGTGTTTATAACTCAAAGACCGTGATGACTAGAAAAATTCTACGTGCACCATTGGATTCCACGTGAAAAAATCTATTAGAACCCGTTTTTACTTTTTTACTAAGTTTCCGGATAGCCGAGATACAGGAGGTGTCAGAAAATCGTAAATGTCAAACACTTCCTGTATATCAAAAACGGAGATGACTATGAAAATTTGGTTTGCGCCATTGTAAGTTTCACAAAAAAGTAGCTCAGGTTCGCGAAAGCCGCAACTTTCTATCTTTCATAATAACTGAGATACCCTGCAAACCCATCGAAATTTGGACTCCCTGTACATTGTACACTACGCACCTCGTGTAATAAAAATAGGCGCGCCTGCCGGAAGGTTAAGGACGCCCCACAAAAAAAGTCAAGAGGTGTTAAATCGGGAGATCTGGCAGGCCAGGAAATTGGACCTCCCCTTCCAATCCATCGCCCAGCATAATCCCGATCTAAAGCTTCACGTGCAATATGTGAACATGTGCTGGACACCCATCATTTAGCAGCCACATATTTTGTCTTTCTTCCCTCCTCAAATCTACAAGTAACATTGGTAAGAGGTCATCTAAAAAATTTCGGTACTTTTCCACATTCAGCATACCATCAATAAAGTATGGACCGATCAATTTATCACCAGTTATGCCACACCACACATTAACCGACCAAGGTCATTGATGTTCTACTTCACGCAACCATCTCAGATTTTCAACGGTCCAATAGTGCATGTTATGTCTATTGACTTGTCCTTTGTTTGTAAACGTAGACTCATCCGAGAATAGCACGTTACCAAAGAAATTGACGTCCAACCGCATTCGTTCTTGTGCCCATTGACAAAATATTAATCGATTTTCAAAATCACCTCCATAAAGCTGTTGATGCAATGAAATGTGGTATGGGTGATACTTGGTGCGCTTTAATATTCTTAAAATGCTGGTCTTCGATATTCATTTTATTTAATAATTAAACTATGTTTAACGATGAAGCAAATTTATTTGTTTTTCAGTGCTACATATGTTTCGGAATTTCTTTCCTTCTTCAGGGACGACGTCAGATCTCAGAGGAACTCTTTTTTATAATTAAAATTCATTTCTACGTTCATCAATAATTTAGGCGTATATGTTTAAGAATTTATCCCCTCAACAAATTTAAAATTTCTTAAATGTGAAAAAATGTGAGAATAGTTATTTATGGCTTGAAGAGCATGTCATATTTAAAATAATTTGTTATATCTTGATAAATAAAATTTGGTTTTAACGTAAAAATGTGGTTTATTGAATTAAAGTAAGAATTTATTGAATCTACAGACTTATTAAAATTTGAAAACTGAGTAATCTATTTTGTATTATCAACTTCGATATTCAGGCGTCAATTGCAAGTCGTCGAGTGCTAACTTGAGGATTCTTTCGTAGTTACAGTTGCTCGCGGAGTTTTTTTCTTGATTCCACATTTCCAGTGTTAGTGAAATCATTCATAACTCTGTAAAAGGTACTTCTCGAAGGCGTATTTCAATCAGGAAAACGTTTTCGATACAAAGCTCAACTTTTCTGCCACTTTTTCCATAAATAAAAATCATTTCTACTTTTTCTCCCACACTTAGAGTATCCATAATTTTCAGAATTTGTTGCCAAGCAGTTTTTATGCAAATTTAGTTTTACCTGTAACATTTTAAAACAATTCAACCAATTAAGTCTCTGAAAGTGATACTCTGAAAATGCCGACATAAGAAGTTCCACGAACCAGGTCACCCGATGTACCTCTTTTGGATTTTTTTTGTTGAGCATTCTTAAATAGTATTCTAAGAATTAAGAACGAAAGACAATGTACCGAAGCGGGTAGGAAAATGTTTCAAAATTCATAAATCTTATTTGTTCTTGCTGGATTACAAACGTTAGTTAATTAAACTAAAACTAGAACTAACACTATCACTAGACCTAGAAACTTTCGTGTTAAGCCGTGCGTTTTTTGAAAAAATCTTTGACGTTTCGGATGTCATGTTGCAACCTTCTTCAGAAACAAGTTCGCAGTGACGAATTCGGTTAAAATTTGACAATAAATACATGAAAAGGTAATTACCGTATTTTCTCGAATCTTATCCGCACTCGAATCTAATCCGCACCTCGATTTTAAAAATGCAATGGTGGTAAAAAAAGTTGGTTTATCAGTGTAATCCACATCCGATTGTAATCCGCATTTGATTTTAGAGCATATAAAATTAGTAAAAAGGGTGCGGATTAGATTCGAGAAAATACGGTAATAGCTAATTAGTGTCTAATTGTCAACTAAGTTATTTTTGTCAAATCCGGGTGGAGAAGGCTTCGTTGAGTTCCCAACCATCTTCTCTATTCATGTTATTCCCATGTCGATGAATCTATATCGCCTCTCTCGTCAACCTTTGGAAGTAATGTCCGTTTCTTGCTAGCACTTTGGTTTTCTCAAACTCTATGCTGTGTCCTCCTTTGTGGCAATGCTCTGCGACTGCAGATTGTTGTATCTTCCTTAGTCGGACGTCCCTTACGTGTTCCTTGATGCGGCACTCGATGTTACGTCCAGTTTGGCCAACGTAATATTTCCCGCAACTGCACGATAGCCGGTAGACTCCCGCTCCATTTAATGGGGTTAGTTTGTCTTTGGCTATCGGTAGAGTGTTTTGTATTTTGCTGACCGTACCGTATCGTACCACGATATCATTCTTCTTCAGACGCCTCGCAATTCGCTCCGTCACACCTGAAACATAAGGAAGGCAGATAAAACCGGCTTCTTTCGATATACTCCCAGTTCCATGCCTCCATCTGTCTTCCTAGTGACTAACACATCCAGGAATGGCAACTGTTTTGCAGTTTCTGTTTCCATGGTAAATTTTATCATGGGGTGCTTTTATCACGTGAATTGAGGGGGCTAGAAATTCCTGGACTTGCTCTTTTCCATGTTGCCAGATCACGAAAGTGTCGTGGACGTAACGGAGCCATAGCTTCGGTTTCCGAGGACTCTTCTTTAACGCTTCCTCCTCAAACATCTCCATGTAAAAATTGGCTATCACAGGAGACAGGGGTGATCCCGTGGCTGCCCCTTCGCATTGCTCGTAGAATTCCCCCTTCCAGCTAAAGTATGTCGACGATAGGCAATACTCCACTAGTCCTGGCACATACTTGAGCAAACCCTCCGGGATGAGTTTAGTGAAATCAGAAGTTTCAATTTTTTTCAAAAGAAGTTTTGCCGTTGTACTGACAAAACCACACAGTAAAATCTTTTTATTTTTTTTTTAATTACTTTGCTTTTATCCACAGATTCAGATATTACAATAAAATATATAGGGTGCCATTCAAAAAATTGGTCATGACCTTCATATGACCTTGAAAGTAAGGTCAAGGTCAAAAATGTTATCGTCATATGGCTTCCCCCTTCGTACAGAACAACTTTCATTTGGTTTATTTTTATGTAAAATGAACCGTTTTCGAGATAATCACATGTCTCACGTTAAATGGACCAGTCTGTATACAACTGCGTATGAAACAAACATTAAATATAGGAGTGTTAAAGTATTTCCAACTAGAGCCTAGCTACTAGATCCCTTTCCTATTAATAGTATAATTTAATGATGTTTTCTGTAATTAATATTCAGTATAAAATAACTTTTGTTTAAAGTGTAAATAATAGGCAACCAAACTTACAAGTTAACATTAATTATAACATTTAATATTTTTGTTTAAAAACAAATAATTTATACAAAATTTAGTTCTATCACAATATTCAATTAAACATTAATAACTACAAAATATTTATTAAAAACTCTTTTTTTTAGTAACTTAATTTTTAGGAGTTGGTCAATTTTGACATCTATTTATTTGACAAATTTGACAGAAAGTATTCAAGCATTCCCTCCAAAACCAATAACCAATACTCAACGGACCTTGAACCGGTACAAGCTACAATTTCATTCGGTTTTTTGTGTGTATTAAAACAATATTAAAACGTGTTGAAGTTTTATTTTATGTTAAAATACAATGGATGTGCCTAAATTAACGGAAGGCTCTTTAAAGGTACGTTCATTCTTCTTCGGATTTATTCGAAGTTCACCTTAAAAGCTTGTTATAAAAAATCTTTTTTTTCCATCATTAATTTGTTAGGTCATCATGCAAGGTGGTCAAATTGATAAACCCGTTATGCAAGTGCTCGGATGTAAATTACTTCCTAGTGGCAATAGCTCAAGCAAAGAACGTTATCGACTTTTGCTTTCTGATGGAGTCAACTACATCACGTTTGCGATGTTAACTACTCAGGTCCATAGTGGGGAGCTAAGCAGCTTTTCCATTATAAGAATCAACAAATATGTTAGTACAGTTATTAATAATACAGGAAAAAGCGAAAAGTTAGTTTAATTTTAATCTATATTTGTATATTTATAACTAAAAAAATGTTTGTTTTAAAATAGAAAGCTTTTGGTTCTACTTGATATTGATGTATTGGTAGATGGTTCTAAATTAGAAAAAATTGGAGAACCTTTACAATTACCTGATAGTTTAGAACAGATTGAAAGTAGTAATCACAGCAACAATAATGTTTCGAATGTTTCAAAACCTGTTGTTAGTGGATCTTCAAGTGTGGCTCCAAAGAAAAATGGCATTGATTTGAATAGTACCTCTTTACAGGATTGCCTTCATAATCCAATTGCTAGTATAAGTCCATATCAAAACAAGTAAGGAAACATATTTTTATTATTTATTAATTTTATTAATTTATGTGTTTTAGATGGGTTATTAAAGCTAGAGTAAGTAATAAATCCGCAATAAGAACATGGTCAAACTCAAGAGGTGAAGGAAAACTGTTTTCAATGGATCTTATTGATGAAAGTGGTGAGATTAGAGCAACCGCTTTTAGAGATTTGGTTGATAAATTTTACGACATGATTGAGGTTGATAAAGTTTACTATATTAGTAAATGTCTCGCAAAAATGGCTAATAAACAATACACCAGCATTAAAAATGATTATGAATTAACATTAACCAATGATACAATAATTCAACCATGCGAAGATGATATAGATGAGATTCCACAAACTCAGTTTAATTTTATCTCGATTGATAAAATCAGTAATATTGTAACTGGATCTATGGTGGATGTAATTGGTGTATGCAAAAGTGCCACTGATGTCCAAACATTTAATGCTAAATCGACCGGAAGAGAATTAAAAAAGAGGGAAGTCACTCTTGTCGATACAACGAATACTGGAGTTAGTTTGACTTTATGGGGAGCCGATGCTGAAAAATTTGAGGATACATCAAACCCAATTGTTGCTTTAAAAGGGGTAAAAGTTGGCGAATTTGGAGGTGGAAAAAATATAAGTTTAATAGGTGGAAGTATTATGAGGGTGAATCCTGATATTCCAGAAGCTCATAAACTTAGAGGATGGTTTGATAATGATGGAATGGGTCTTGAGGTTAATAATATTAGTGCACGGTAAATTTTTAACTTAAATGTTATTTTCTTTTTTTAAATCAACTCTAATGACATTACTTATAGGTAAATATGATGAACATGAGGTCTCTTTATGCATATTAATTTGAGCCAATTTATAGTTAAAATTTATTTTCCAATAATGTTATCAAACGCAGGATAACAGGATTTTGTATTTAAATTAATTAGAAAGTACAGTGTGTTAATTAATTATTGTACCCAACGTCATCATTGCAAGTATGCAACCAATATCACAGTACGCGTATTGCAGTACCAATACTGTGATATTGGTTGTATATTTGCAATGATGACGTTGGGTACGATAATTAACACAGTGTATCATAAAGTTGGTGTTACACTGTTGAAGATCGTTTGCGAGTGATTTAAGTTAAAAATGTCCTATACATAGTTGCTGTCACAGTGTGTATACCTCAGTATACTGCCTCTATTAAGTATAAGAGTCGTATCTGCCTATTTAGAATTTTCGAGAAAATGCGAAAAATGTGTTTATGTTTTTGCCATCCTAAGTACTATTACTCAGGAAGTCGAAGTTAGGAAAATCCATTTATTTTTGACATAGATATATGCGGAATATATATATATATGCAGAATATAAGCTCGTTTTTTTCAAATTAAGAGTTTAAAATATGTTTTTGTTAGTTACAATAAATTTACTTAACAGTGAGCAACTAAAACATTAATGATGCTTCACTTATTAATCATAAGGGAACATTTTCTGTTTAGGAAAACTAGAAATACTACCTCTAAAGAAATGTTTATTGCAACTTCAGGTTTTTCACACATGTAAAAATAATACACATAATAATAATATGTAACTAATAAAATACTGTGTACATTACATTACATAGATTACATATTGGGTAGGCGGACTAACAACCTTGCACCGCGCCCCTAAGAATCTATTGTACCCTGATAGATATCGTTATTAAATTTCACTGTGCAGTCCAATTCTCTTAACGAACATTAATATCTTACTCAGTGAAAGGTCATTCAGATCCCTCGGGGAGATAAACTGCGACCCAAAAATCGAGCATCTGTGATGGTTCCCAGCAAAGCAGTGGCATAAAACATGCTCAGCCGTCTCCGCTTCCTCCGCACATAGTCGGCATTCAACATCGTCGGCTAAACGCAACAAGTTGAGCTGTGCTTTTAATCGGCAGTGCCCAGTAAAGACACCCATTAGAACTTTTATGCTGCCACAAGCAAGTCCTAAAATATTCCCGGGTTTGACAGTGGCGATGTTAATAATCACCGTAGCATGTCTCATTTCAGGAGAACTGGTCCACAGTAGGCAAAGTCTCTCTTCAACCCACAGTTTAATCCTATGTTTGGCCATCGCAAATGATACACCAACTGCTGGTTCTGGCCCCACAGACGCTTTAGCGCTGCCCTCTCGTGCTAGCTCATCTGCTGCTTTATTTCCAGCAACCCCAGAGTGACCTAGGACCCAGATGAAAGCACTCTGTTATCACAACTCAATGTGTTTAATATTCTCTTGCAGTCATTAACCAGAGCCGACACCGTTTTCACGGCTTGCAGAGCCTGAACAGCGGCTTGACTGTCTGCGAAAAGTCATACTGTCATGTTCTTCACCCCTCTCTCAAGAAGGATTTTATCACTCATGTCAATAGCAAATACTTCCGCCTGGAATACAGTACAGTACTTACCCAGGCTGTAGGCTAGCTTAATCCGAGGTGTCTGGCAATATACTCTTGCCCCGCCGCCTTCCGGCGTCTTTGATCCATCTGTGAACATCCAAATATCTGCTTGAACCAAACAATTTTCGTTTTCGATCCAAGACTACCGTTCAGGCAGTACAATCTGGTATCAAGCATTAATCACTGATAGTGATCCCGCCAAATCTGACGGCATTGATAGCACAATATGAGTGCTTATAATGTCTTCCGCAGCCCGTTGGTAAGATATGAAGCTAAGTGTCTTGGTATGATTGTAGATACTAGCTTAAGATTTAGAAAACAAATTCAAACATATATTCAGAGATCATATTTTTTTTGCGTTGGCTGTACCCGCATCGTTCATGTTTACCTTTGAAATTAGAAGTACACCACTGTGATATGTTTGTTCTTTCACAATTTGACTATATGTCTGCTGTATATCATAAGGCTATAGATGCAGTTACGGCACGAAGTATACAAAAGGTTCAGAATAGTTGCCTCAGATTCATCTATGGTATTCGCAAATTTGATAGAATTTGTCAAACTTAAAGATGCTGGGTGGTTAAACATGAACTTTCGACGGGAATTTCATAGTTTATCTCTCTATCATAGAATCGTTACCTCTGGAGTCCCGGAGTACCTGCATAATAAAATTAAATATAAACCACAGGGCGAAGAAAGTCGGACAAGGTCAGATACTACTTTCTATCCTCTAAAACATAGAACATCACTTTTTCAAAGGTCATTATCATGTTTATAAATCGTATGGACGCTTGCCACATGGACTACGTCAACTGAATTATGACCAATTTCGAATAAATTTGAGGAATATGATTTTTCAGCAGTTCTTTGTTTATATCATTGTTATTGAAGTTATTAATAGTTACGCCATCAGTTATTACACTGAGTCCATTTTTAATTTTCATTATTATTGTTTTTTTTTCTCTTCTTCTTTTTCATTTAATCTACGTTTTGGTCTTTTGGACCCTTTTATTTAAACTAATTATGTTTAAATTTGGAATATAATGTTGGTGATACTGTATTAATAATTTCAAGATTTTGCTTTGTTTTTTTTTTCTTTTTGTTTGTTATAATTCATGGAATTTTTTTTTCTTACGGTTGGATAAAACAAACTATTCTGGATCCCGCCATTTGATCTCCATATATTAGTCATAGTGTAAATATCATAAATATTTGAAAATATTTCATTAGTTTAATTTATTGTAGTTTATATTCTAGTTTCTTCTTTGTAATGGAGACAATAAAGTCGTTTATTATTATTATTATTATATGTCTGAACAGTTTTGAGCATATTGCTTAAATCTGTACCTAAATGGAAGTTCTAGCCACTTTTTCTAGAACATCCATTGCTAGAGTTGCTGTTGTGCTTATCGCACCAGAGATTGCCAATCCAGTTTCTCATTGATTTCGTGAAAGTTTACTGATAGCTGAAGTCTGTCGGAGTTTACTATACCAGGCTGCTGCTCTGTATGTGATCATAGGTCTAACCACAGTCACATAGAGCCAGTACAGTCTTTCAAAGGTAAGACCACACTGTATATGAATGCTTGAAATTCAAACCGATATTTACCACCGAAATTCGGCTTTTGTCTCAGTTTTGGCTGAAACCGTAACCGAAACATTTTAGGTAAATAATTCCACAAATTCCAAGGATTTCCGTATTTTCTCTATTTTTTAGCTATGTGCAGGCCATTCCATTCTCTTGATATCATTATTGTGCATGAACAAGAAGTTGTCACCAATTTACCGTTTGGATTGCCGTTGATAAAGCAAAGCTCCGTACATGCTTCGAAACAGATTCCTCCCCAAACCATTACAAACTCTTTCAGATAATTAAATAATAAAATTAATATTAAGCATAACGCTCTCCTGCTTTGCTCCAAACTGTCTCTCGACAATCTGGAGAGTACAAGCCGACCTCGATCGTCTGAGAACAGTACGTTTCGCCACTTTGCATTAGTCCACTGAACATGATCTCGTGCATATTGTAATCGAGCAACACGATGTTCTCGGAGCAACGCGATCTCTGTGATCTCAACCCCGATTCTTCAAATATCCTTCTTACTGTGCGTTCACTCACGTTCACCCGACGCACTTGCTCCAGACGATTTCTTATCTCAACTACTGTAGTATGTCGATTTCTTAACGCGGTCGTTACAATATATCGATCACTATGGGGTTGTGCGTCTTCTTCCTGACCCAGGTCGTCTGATGAAGGTGCTAGTCTGTCGAAATCTTTGAATGGCGCGACAAACCGTACTCTGTATCGCATCAAGAACACGTCACTGAAATGTTCTCGTCAATTTCCATGGCTTGGTTTAATTTCTGATGGTGCTGCCGAAGAAGCTGCGTTATCGTTTAGAGCTTGTAACTTTGGTGTTAACAATAACAGGAAGTTGAACAAAAAACAGAAGTGATCAGAACAGACGAGACTACAAACTCCTTATGTTTAAAATTAATTTCTTTTGTCAGTGCACCCCAAAGCTTCAAAGTGTAGGAAGAAAACGAGCATTAGCGTTATTCACCATTGCTGAAATTGAAGAGCGCCAAAATGGGGAAGGCACCTACAGAAAATTGGCAAATGGTAGACCTTCCAAATAAAAAATCCTTATTTAAATTGACCAATACGTTCAAAAGTTATTTCAGTTTGAAACTGGTCATCATACTAGGTGATACGTTTTTTATGCCGCTGAGTGTATTTAAGTTAAAGGTACAATTAAACTGTTTGTAAAAACTGGAAATTTTGGTACACGTTTGTCCATAGGTTCTTAAACAAGAGGTTGTCTGTATATGACATTACTTTCTGTGGTAATTGCACATGTAATTTTGTTTTTTCAAAATGTATAGGGTAATTTTTGCAAAAAGGTTGAGAAACAGCTACTTAGTTTATACATGAAGCCAACAATATTTTTAATTCATAGGGAAAACAGTTTTGTGTCGTGTACAAAGTATATAAAGAGGTGGTATTGTAATTGCACAAGCCACCTCAGAACTTTGATGTTGATAAAAGTTGGTATATTGCAAAATCATAAATCTGTCTCAACTTTTGGGTTATATCTATCGACGAAAGAGGCACTTTATGTGAATACATATCGAACCTTTTTCATATCGCAATACTACAAGCAACTACGTAATAAACTACCCAAAAACTGTGTCAAAAATGCTCATGCTATGATTTATTGGACAGATTCACTTCCTAACAGATTTCATACTGATACTACTTATAAGTAATTTTTCTTAATATCCAACCTGACTCTTTCCCCTATGGTCAAGTTTTGCAGATGTTTTGTTGATGAGTCTGCATGCCTATATTTTGTTTTAATTCAATTTAATTTTAGCCTACTTTTGTGCACTGCTCCCTATAGTAAGCAGAAGGCTTCTGTCATGTCTCATCTTGGCCTTGCAATGATAGCAACATTATTAGCAAAAATCAGCATTTATACGGTTTTGTTAATAATGGTGCCTCTCGTGTTGAAACCATCCTGTATGGCCTCGAACACCATGTCTATAAGTATGCATGATTATACATCACACTTTATTTAGTCTGAGTTTTGCTGTTGTTTCATTTTCTATTCTATCAGAATTAGGTGTGCAGGTATATTAACCTGCATGGCTTCCATTAAAAAATTCTTGGAGATGCTGTTATAAGCACTCTCAAAATCGATAAACATAAGCTTCGATATTAAATTCTTTTGCCTTTTTGAGAATTTGACGTATTACAAATAATTGGTCGATTGTCGACCTCTGTCTGCAGAACCTGCATTGAAAGTAAAGTATTCCACCAAAAGAGGTCCTGTTCTTATTTAATGAGGATAGGCTTATCCACAATTGCTATTATAGTCTAAACTGGTCATCAATTGCTCCGCATATTGCACGTTGCGATAATATATTTTACAGATAACTCCTATAAAACAACACTGTTGTAATCCTCCACAGCAATGGCATATAAAACTCTAGTTTTAACACTTATTGAATATTATACATATTTAAGACGTGTATGTTTATTTATATATTGATTACTATTATTATCTTTTCAGTACTGGTGGTGGAAACTTTCAGACGGAATGGATGAATCTTAGAGCTGTTAAAGAAGCCGGTTTGGGTCGTTCTGAAAGAGGCGATTATTACCAAGTTAAAGCAACAGTTATTTTATTAAGATCTGATAAAATGTTGTATAAAGCATGTGCTAATGAAGGGTGTAATAAGAAAGTTGTCGACCTTGAAAATGGAATGTTTAGATGCGAAAAATGTGCAAGAGAATACCCTGGTTTTAAATATAGATTACTTGGAAGTGTAAGTATTATAAATTCTAACATATTTTATACAGAAATATATGTATATCTACAAAAAAATATTGAAATTAATCATTATTTTTAGGCCAATATTAGTGATTGGAGTGGTAATCAATGGATCAGTATGTTTTCATCAGAAGTGGAAAAAATTATTGGTGCCACTGCTGAAGAAGCTGGTAATGCTGTACAAATGGATATGAATGCCCTCGCTGAAATTGGGAATAAAGCAAATTTTAAGCAGTTTGTATTTAAATGCAGAGCTAAATACGAATCATACAATGTAAGTATTTTATGTTTCGTTTTAAACATTTATGTTAAATTAATTTATCATTTCAGGATGAAACCAGGCTTAAAACTGTAGCAGTGAGAGTCGATACAATTAACTATAAAGAATATAACAATCATTTAATCACCAGAATCAAACAATTAATGTCTGAGTAAAAATATTTTTAAGTTATGTTTTAATAGTTATATGTTTTGTTTTTATGTTAGGTTACTATATACATTAAGTAGTTTGGTTAATATAATAGATTTACATAACATCTTTTTATGGACAAATATTTCCTAATATTTGTTATACAGAAAATGATATGAACATTTTGTACTCTGAATCAAAATTTTTTTTGGGTATAAAATCCTTTTTTGTTACCATCACTAGTTAAAAATAAAAATGAATAGAATTTGATGGCTTACACATCCCTTATTGATAAGTTTTTTTTTCTTATATTCTTTTATATTTTGCATAGTATATTTTTATAAACCCCTAGTTTTTAATTCCATTATTCTTTTTAAGCATAAAAAGACCACTGTATTTTCTGGTGTAATCAGAACATCTAATGTTTGAGTACTAAGGTTTTTTCTTACTATCACTATTTAAAAAAATATACAATATTATAATTTATTTCATCGTAATTACATATTTTAAGACCTTTTCATGTTGATTTTTTGCGTAATAATTAAAACTGAAACGGGATTTCTTAGTTATTTGTTTAATTGGCTTACTAGAAAATAAGATTTTTTTTGTGATTAATACAAGTTTGATTTTTCAGTAAATACAATATATTTATAAAAACATCGTTTTCATTATTACAAAATACGCATAAACACTTTGGAAGTACAATTAGAAAACGAACTAAACTAATAATATAAAAGTTAGGTTATCTAACGTGATAAACATGTTTGATGATTCGAAACGTTCAGATCTGTTGGACCATAGCTTTTTTTCGAGCATATGCCCCCAAACAAGCTAAAATACTAATAGTACTTATCAATAAGCCCAATATTAATGCCAGGCTATCACCAAAATCCATGTTTATTGTTACGAGGATCTATGATAGCGAGTTCTGTAACAGTTTAGTAGTCTCTTTGTCATCGCGTAAGCGCCATCTATTGGGTTATTTGCATTTCATTAAAACTTGGCAAGCATTTTATTTTTATTAAATACATATATATTCTGAATATTATAAATTGCTGATGTATTTTGCAAAACAGAAATTAGAATGTGTTCCATATTCTTTATTAATAAAGTATCGAAGATTATAGGGAATGTGTCGCAGTTGGATTATTATTTTACTGAAATAATTTTGTTAATCCTAATGGAATGATTTTGGATTAAAGAACTGTAAACTTACACCAAAAGACAATAACTCTACAAAAACAAAAATATAATTCAAATATACCCAATTCCAAATAAAATTATTATGATGCAAATGATAGGGAAGACGCCCTGAAGTGTAAAGTACGCCAGAAAGATTTGCTGACAAAATATGTGAACTGCACTAAAAATAATCAAACCAATTCCCATGGATGTGTTGTAGCTAAAGAACTACAGCAAATGAGATTATGTCTTGCAAAGGAGTGCATATTTCCAACGAAATGAACGATGAATGCTATTAAGCTTTTGGTGAGCAACCAAAAGCTTAATACAGTCTAGTAGTATCTAGAAATTCAAATAATAGGAACGAAAAAAATACAGTTCCCAAGAAAATGAAGAAAAAACCAAGTTCAAAAACCTTCATGAGGGGTTAATAAATAAGCTTGAACATATTAACAAAGAAGCTGTTAAAGCAACACATTGCTATAAATATTAGAATGATGTTATGGAATGCTAACGGACTTTTGCAAGATGAACAAGATCTGCAAGCACTCCTATACATCTTATCAATCTTTCCAAATTTTACCACTCAATTATATATCAAATTTAAAGGCTATAAAGAATATCATGCCATACACCCTAAAACTGCAGTCAAAGGAGGTAATATTGTCATAATTGAAAAAATGATCTTGCATTATCAAGGACTAGAATATAAGACTGATCAGATTCAAGCTACATCTATAATCGAAAATACAAAAATTACGTCAAATCAAGGTAGTCAGGTAACAATTCATGGTTGGCGGAAATTTTAATGCAAAACACACCAACTGGGGATTTTTACTATCTACATCTAAAGCTGGGTCTATATCAACTACCAAATAACCTAGATACCAAATTTGAGACTAGAACATTGCCTAATAAGGTGTTTACCTAGTAAGTCTTGAAGCAGTCCTATGTAACATGTAAAGCTATTTTTAAACTAACACGTAACACGCATTTGCTTCTTTAGATAAACATATGTTCCCATACTTGGAAGATGTTTAAAGTTTGAAGATGATGAACATCACGATCTTATTGACCGACACATTATTGTCTTTATATTAAAAAACAAACATGATGTCTCTACATAATACGTTTATGTTCTATAAGAAGCTACTAATTGCTTTAATCAATAAGGTTCTAAGAAATATCCTAGATTTACCTTGAATAGTGACCTCCATAGAGACCTCGAAATGGAAACTGTTCAATCATGAAACTACTATCATGACAATCATAAAAGTTGAGGAGAGCCAAGAAGAAAGGCTTTATCATCATGTTAAGATTGGTTCATTCAATTCTTTGTTATAATATAATACTAAACTGGAAGGAAGACTCAAGATAAATGAGCCATTGAAATTAGAGTTGTTACCAGTCGGCTTGGTAAAATAAAAATCAAAGTTTCTGAGCAGTACTACAATTGTTAATACCTAAAAAACGCTGCTGAGTTAGATTGAAATTAATAATTGATCATTTTTGATTAAGAACTCAAAATTTTAATGCTTTACACTTGGTTGGAACGTTGTCCCAAACGTTGTTGAAGCTTTAATCCTCAAGTGATCGCCAAACTCTTAATTTCTCTTGCTAAAACATTGCCCCATTCAGCTTGCATCCATTTATAATGCAAAAAGCTTCACCAGGTCCAGGCGAAGTAAGTGAAGTTTTTGTTGAGGATTTCAATTTGAAAATCTGTCGGCGAAACCTGGACGTTTATTGTAAATGGCAATTCATTTGATATGGATGGGAGGCATCTTCTGGAAATATTCTGTTTCCTAGAAAGTCAATAGTGAACATATCAACATCTTCAAGTTAGCGAGTTTCCGAACAATTTTTAATCCATACGGAATAACGTGAAATTGGTACGATCGATTGTTGGACATACAGTTTCGCGATTATTACTGGGACTATAATGCCTAAGATAGAGACCATCTTTGCACGGCGGAGGCTTCATAAATGGTTGTTCAGACGCTAGTAGTCCTCATAAGAATGGGACTCCCCATTTACTCTGAATACTATGACAACCGTTGGGATAACGGTGCTAGAGAATCTCCTCATCGAACTGGACTGCAGCTGTCTTCGAACGGTTTACCGCAAAATCAGAGCCTTCGGCTTACAACATTTAAAAGTTTGAATTTCTTCAGTCATTGAATATCCAATTTATCACCAGAATAATGTCCGTCCCTATGTTACAAAACGTTCTGTAGAATAATTTGCTATCCATTGAACATGTTTGAGACATGATAGAGAGGAAATTAATCTATGCTGTATTCTAGAATTGATTCCACAAAGAGGGATTAGTATAGTAGGTACAGGCAAAGAGATATGAATACTCATAGTAGTTTATTTTTCTCAAAGTATTATGATTGTATCATATATTGCAAATAAAGAGAATGGTCTCTATGCTATCATCTGAAATCATGATGAACAGGTATCTGAAGAGGATCATCGGAAACCAATTGTAATTTTGGGTTATAATAATACCAAAGGTGACGTTGATGACACAAATAAATTGATTCTTGAGTATACTTGTACTCACCTTACAGCTAGGTGAGAATTCCTAGTTCAATTTTAAGGTTATTCTTGAAACTTGTAGTTATAGAAGACGCATATGTTTGATATGATTGGGCAAAAGTTTGGGTCTAACAATTATGTAAGAGCAACTATACAGCTATTCGGGCTTGCAGCAGTGAAAATTGCCAACCTGAATCAACTCTGCTTAACTCTGACGATTCCGCCCATTATGCAAACAATTGCACAAATCAGAAAAGGGGAAGATGTTAACTTTGAGATAGAATAATTCATAAATAAGTCAATGTTATATGTACATCTTGTAAAAGTTCCTAGAAAATATTAGACTATTCATCTTTTGAGCATAATATACATAGTTATAATAATAAGTTATTATTATACATTCTTAGATAGTTTAGAACTTCCATAATAATAATAAGTATTTATTGTGCCAACCCATGATATTCAATAATAAAAAAATACAAATCAATAAAATAATTAAATTAATCAATAATAACTCAATTAGATATGAGAATGGAAATTGAAACTTCTTACTTGCTTTTTAAAATTTATTTTAACGGTACCAGTTTCGGGAAAAACTCAGTTTCCCATCATCAACCGAAGTGTCAATAAAACTATCTTGGAAACTTTTTGTTGTTAAACATTTCAGAACATCCGTATCAATTTTATCAGATGATTTTATTACAAACTCATGAAGAGAGGGAAACGAGTCTAGCTCTTCATTATTAATACAAAAAGTATGGTCGGCATTAATAAAGGACTCATTGCAAAAATTCAGAAGGTTGCACCAAATGTCAAGTCCACACATTGTTGCATTCACAGAGAGGCTTTGGCAACAGGTAAAATACCTGCTGATCTGCAAAAAGTTCTTGATGAAAGCGTGAAAATCGTTAATTATATTAAAGGTCGACCTTTAAACGCAAGACTTTCAACCCGACTGCTTTTTCATACTGATGTACGTTGGCTATCTCGGGGAAAAATTTTAAGTCGATTATTTGAACTGAGACAAGAACTTCAAGTTTTTTTTAATGATAAATTTGAACTGAAAAAGGGTCTACATGACTCAACGTGGCTATCCAAATTGGCATACTTAGCAGATATATTCTCTATTTTAAATGGACTCAATTTATCATTACAAGGTAAAGATATTTCATTGTTTCATGTCCAGGACAAAGTAAACGCTACATTGAAAAATTAAAGGTATGGAAAACTAGAGTTAATAATGAAGAGCTAGACTCGTTTCCGTCTCTTCATGAGTTTGTAATAAAATCATCTGATAAAATTGATACGGATGTTCTGAAATATTTAACAACAAAAAGTTTCCAAGATAGTTTTATTGACACTTCGGCTGATGATGGGAAACTGAGTTTTTCCCGAAACTGGTACCACTAAAATAAATTTTAAAAAGCAAGTAAGAAGTTTCAATTTCCATTCTCATATCTAATTGAGTTATTATTGATTAATTTAATTATTTTATTGATTTGTATTTTTTTATTATTGAATATTATGAATTGTATTTTTTTTTGTTTTGTTGTATCATGGGTTGGCACAATAAATACTTAAATAAATAAATAAATCGTTTATTATGCAAGAAAAGAAAAAAAAAACATAATAGATACTTACAAAAACAGAAAAGAAAATCAAAGTTTACATACTATTCTTACACAAACGCGAGAAGGCAATTCAGGAACAACTCCTGATCTTCCATTGTCCCCTCGAATAATAATAGATTACAAGAAAATTAAAATTATTAATTCCAGATTTATGCGTTGTAGTCTTATTACGTACTTCTATTAGTAAAAATCAAACACTAAACATACA